AATACATATTTTACCAGTAGGTTTGTGGGCAGAATGTTTATTCAAATATGTATATTTTTTGTTTGGTAAAGTGGTTGTCAAGTGGCAGAGGTTTGTCTGGTGGAATAGACAGCCTATGCCTTTAACAGGCTTTTGTCATAATCTTGGAATCAATTGTGAATATTCTGAGGGAGAAGAAAGTAATTTCTCACATTATCATTCTGCTTCCTCTGTAGAAGATTGATCCCAGCCTTTTCTATAGGGCTTTTAAAAGCTATTACTGTCTGATGTATGACATTAAGGTTCAAAAAACCAGCTTTAGGTAAAAATGCTCTGATTTAAAAAAACTTTTTGAGCATGGTATTTGAAACCTAGGATAAATTAGTTTCAAACTGACCTCTTGAGGTTCCCATGCTCAAACCAGGGCCAAATCTGAAGTTTGGTTGAATCGCTCAAAGTGTTGTCCAGCTGAGTGTTTAGTATCTCCAAGGATGGAGGCTCCTGGGGCCCTGTCCCAGGACTGAAGGTGAAATGCGTTGCATGATACCTAGTAGGAAGTTGCCGCGTTCCAATTTGTGTCCACCACTTCTTGTGCTGTCACTGGGATCTCTGGAAAAAGCCAGTCTCCATCTTCTCTTCTTCAGGTAGCTGCAGATAGCAATAAGTTCTCCTCTTTGCCTCTCTGTCTCCAAGTTGAACAAAAAAGTGTTGAATGGAGCGGTAGGGACTGTTCCCTCTCCTGCTGAACCTCCTTTTGCTAACTCAGCCCAGGGCATGGTTGGCCTTCTTTCCTGCAAGAGGATGCTGCTGATCCTAGTCAGTTTGGCCCCCAGGGGCTTTTCCATGGAGCTGTCCTGGGACAGGACTTAGCATGTGCCTTTGCTAGACCCTGTCAGCCCACCTCTCCAGCCTGTCCAGGTCCCTCTGGAAAGCAGCACTGCCCTCCAGCTTGAGCCAGGGTACATTGCATCCTGTCTTTAGGTGGTTAAGACGATCTAGATAATATTGACCCCTGAAAGATGCTCTTAATATTCAGCTGCTAGTTAGACTGTGACTACAGACAGTAGTTGTGTGATTTCGGCAATGATTTGCCCCTTCACATGATTACTTGTTTTCACACTGTTTATCTTCATGATGAATTTTCTGTGTGAGTCTTATGATATTTTCAATGACTATCATATAAAGCATGTCAGAAGCAATTTAAAGTTATTACAAAGAACAGAAAACTTTCAGTGTCTGTCTTTTCTTAATATTGATAATATTCTTTTGCTTGATATCTGTAGAAAAGGAAATAGGGAAATACAGCTGGCTGCCAAGCCCCTGCTATGGTGTAACTCAAGATGTCCACTTATAAAATTAAATATGGCCTGAAGAGTTACTAGCACCTGTTTCTTCATTGTACAAAAATGTGACTGGAAGGGTGATGTTTTAACAGGTTAAAATATTTTGGTTGCATATCTCTGTGAATTTACAAAAGCTATTTTTTGTTTCAGCTAACAAACTGAAAATTTCATCAGTTGTAAAATAGTAGCTGAAATGCCCTAAAGGGACCTATTTCTGAAATTTTCTTAGTATTGTCTTTAGTGAATAATTGGGTCATAATTTCCAGGCCGTCTGTGTGTTGGGTCTCTGTGCAGAAAGCAGTTGCAAGGAAGCTTGCCCAGAGGAGTAGGCAAGTGTCCTGTATGCAACCACGGAGCTGGCCTGAAGAGGGCTACTCAGCCCTGGAGAGATAATGAGAGCTTGGCTTACAGCAAAATTTGTGAGAACAGGGAGGAATCAGCATTTACACAAAATTTGTAATCAAAGCCAGGCATTGGAGAGAGTGGGGTGGGAAACAAGGCAACAGCCTTCATCCCTGTTTATGTGGGCTTGAGGGCTGAGTCTTCAGGATCAAAGAGCAGATAAGACCCAAAGCTTCACCTTTGCTTGTGAAGTTGTGTTCCTCTGACTAATCTGGGAAGCTGAGATAGTGAGGACCACTATCTCAGCAGAACCACTGCTGGTCAGTGACTGGGAAGGGGAAGGAGCAGTGGCTATGTGGCCTAATGAGAATGCAGGAGCTGGGACAAAAAAGGGAGAAGCCTTGGAGCTGTGTCCTGCTGACCTGGCTGCACCAGACTACTCCTGCCCCTCAAGTCCTTCTGTCTGGCCCATCAGAGCTACCAGAGAAGCAAAGCATAGGAAAACTGAGGACTTTTCCAGAGCCAGTAGAGGTTGCTTGTGTTAGGGACCATGGAGCCAGAGCAGGAGATTGGCAGAAGTCTGCTCAATAAACATACCCACTGACCTGCAGTCAGTGGGGGAAGCCCTCCTTGAGGGCAGTTCAGCTGTTTGAAGAGCACAGCATCCCAGAGGGATGGGGGAATCAGGTGCTGTATTTTCCCTTGTGTTCCTAGAGTAAAGAGAAAGAAAGAAAGGAGTTGACCTGGCACCAGCCGTTTGCCCACCTCCCATGAAAACCACGTCACCTCTGACTTGTTCTCATGAATAACGGGAGTTTGCATTTACCAAGTGAAGTGATCAGCCCCTCCAGCCTGCTATTCATTTCTCCAATTAACAATCAGTTGCCTGAAAAATGGGCCAATCTGTTTCTTGGGGAGCTGCATAGAAAAATCCACAAGGCAAGCCAATTAGCATACCAGTCCTCACCGTCTAGGGAATTTAATTTAGTTATTTGGTTGATCTAAGTACTGATATTTTGTTGTTTTGTTATGAAGCATATAATGTTTGTTAAATGGCTGAAATCCCCCGAGGCCCATATGCTGCTGATAGTCTCTGCGTCCTCCTGAGCCGGCAGAGGCAATAAGGCAAAACTGTTTTGTCCCGCACATGGCCCCAGTATTTTCCTGGCACAGCACGGCAGCTGGACGCGGGCAGAACAAACCTTAGCCACCCAGGGTGGGCGGGATAGCTTCCCTCCAAAATAGTTGCACACTTGAGCAAGCCCATTGTCTGTCCAGAAAGCATTTCAACCGCCTCTTACCAGGCAGCCGCCACTACAAAAAGTACGCAGAGACAGTGTTTGGACAACCTGTCTGCGCAGTGTATTGTGCGGGGGCAATTAGTTTGCAAATTGCCCGTTTGCACATCCACGCATGAATTAGTTACATTGCTCCCACAGGATCTGTTTTTCTTATAATTACTGTTAAGGAAGGCCCATGAATAAAAAAGGTAATTTGGACAAACGCTTTTCTCCCCACAAGCAGGAAGTTTGAGCCTCTTCCTCGAAGAGACCAGGCAGTGGATGGAGTCCCTAGGAGGAAAAGAGTGGTTCCCCAGGATATTGCCTCTGTGTGTTTCTAATTCTCTGGGTTGATGCTAGTGTAATGGTAGCATGAGTTGTGAAAGAAAATATATGACAGCTGTCGTCTTGTACTGCCATTCCTGGTGCACATGCTCTGTTCTTGGAGATGTGACCCCAATCCTGTAACTGAACTGCTCTTTCATTTCTGGAGAAATCTCATGTTGGGATTTTAGCAGCCAAAGAAATGCCAGAGCCTGACTGATTTAATGACATTAGTTTTATTCTGGTCTGAATTTGCTGGAGCTGGTGGAGAGTCATGTTGGAAGGAAAACAGTCTAACTGAATGGACAATCCTTCTCAGCATTCGCACCACCTTTAGTTCTCCAGTTCAAAAACCCAAACTGCAGATCACTGCTGCCTAGTCAGCAGAAGGAGAATATAGATTAGATGTGCCATGGTTGAGGAGCTGTGTCACTGCCAAGTCATGAAGCTACGGGAAGAAGTGAACGGGCTTCATAGTATTCAGGTGAATGAGCAAGAGAGGGACTGATTATTTTCAGAGATGCTACAGTCTCAAAACTTTTGAGATTCTTGAACCTCTGTTGTAATGGAGAAGCAGGTGGACTCAGAACTCTGCAGGGTAATTACTCAAAGGATTGTTGCTCAACGGTCTATTAAAGATGAAGACTGGAAGTGGGTCACTGCACGTACCGGGAGGAAGATTCCTCCTTCTTCTCAACATTTGACAGGTATGAGTGGTACCTTCTGCAACAGGTATGAGGCTCTGAAACTAGAGGGCCAGACAACTGAGTAGGTGGGCAAAAGTACTTCTGGGATAGTGGGGCCTCCTAAAACAACACTGCCTGTACCCCACATCAAGATCTCCTCTGCTAAGGGGAAAAGAAGGATAGTTGTACTAGGAGATTCCCTTCTAAGGGGAATGGAGGGCCCAACATGCAGACTGGACCCAACTCGCAGGGAAGTCTGCTGTCTCCCAGGGGCTCAGATAAGGGACATTACTGAAAAATCTCCTGTCTGGTAAAGCCCTTGGACTACTACTCACTATTGGTTGTTCAAACTGGCAGCGACAAAATAACAAAGAGAAGTCTGAGGGCAATCAAAAAAGACTTCAGGGCCCTGGGACGATTGGTAGAGGAATCAGGAGCACAGGCAGTGATTTCCTTAGTTCTTCTGGTAATGAGGAAGAGGATTGATAGGAATAGGCAGATCCATCAGATTAATGAGTGGCTCTGAGGCTGGTGTAATGGGAAAAATTTTGGGGTTTTGACCATGGGATGATCTACTCAACACCTGGCCTACTGACACCTGACAGGATGCACCTATCTCAGAGGGGAAAAGAGTTCTAGAACAGGAGCTAGCAGGGCTCATTGACAGAGCTTTAAACTAGCTTGGAAGGGAGGAAGGTACAAAACCAGGCTTACCAATGATGAGGATGGGATGGCATGCCAAAACTTGAGAAAACCAGCACTAATGGGACCACTCAGTCTGCCTCAGGAGGTTTTGGCTATAATGTACCACACCTGAAATGTTTCTACACCAGTTCCCGCAGCATGAGAAACAAATAAGAGGAGCTCCAAGCCTTGGCCCAGCCTCAGAGATTTGACATCACTGGCATAAGTGAAAGTGGTGGGATGAATCCTGTAACTGGAGTGCCCTGTTGGATGGTTACAGGCTCTTCAGAAGGGACAAGCAGGGCACAAGAGGTAGAGGGGTGGCACTATATGTAATAGAAGGCTTAGAATGTGTGGAGCTCACAGTTGGCAGTGGTACAGTTGAGAGACTCTGGGTGAGAACCAAGAGGCAAACAAATGTTGCCATGGGAGTCTGCTATAGACCTCCCAGCCAGGACGATGGTGCCGACAATTATTCTTTGAGGAACTAAGGGACACTTAGTCAACTGCCCTTGTCCTTATGAGGGACTTCAATTTGCCAGAATTAACTGGGACCACCACACAGCTGGTACAACCTGGGCCAGAAGATTCCTAGAAAATGTGGATGACAACTTCATGGAACAGGTCCTACGGGAGCCAACTTGGAAAGGTACCCTCCTTGATCTGCTACTTGTCAACAGAGGGGATCTCTTGAGCGAAGTGGAGATTGGCGGCTGCCTTGGCCACAGTGACCACAAAGTGATCAAGTTTAAAATCTCTGCCAACAGGGGGGAGAGTGCCAGCAAAACCTCAACTCTAGACATGAGGAGAACAGAATTCAGGCTGCTTGGGGAATTAGTAAGTAAGGTCCCCTGGAAAAATGTTTCTGCAGATGCTATGGTCCCTCAGTGCTGGTCACTTTTTAAACATCACCTCCTTAGGGCACAGGAACAGGCAATTCCCAAATGTCAGAAGTCAAGCAGGCGAGGCAGAAGGCCAGCTTGGCTTGAGCAGGGATCTTCTCTTGGAAATAAGGCAAAAAGGAAGGTGTATCCCCAGTGGAAGCAAGGTCAAGTGACATGAGAGGAATATGGAGATGCTGCTTGTCACTGTAGGGAGAAAGATTGTGCAGCCAAAGCTCAACTGGAGTTGAAGCTGGCCAGAAAAATGTAGGGAACAACAAAGGAGTTTTTTCAAATATATTAAGGGCAAGAGGCAGTATAGAAATATCATCGGCCTGTTACAGGATGGGGATGGTCACCTCACAAACAGGGACAGAGACAAGGCAGAGGTGTTTAACACTTTCTTTACCTCTGTCTTCAACACAGATGATGGACCAAGGAGGTCTCAGTGCTCTGAGCTGGAGGACCATGACTGCAATAATGATCAACTCCCAGTCAACCATGAAATTGCGTGGGATCTGCTGCTCCAGCTGGATCCCTACAAAACTATGGGGTGTGATGGGATTCATCCAAGAATCCTCAAAGAGCTGTCTGATATCATCGCAAAAGCTCTCTTGCAAATCCAGAGAGGTCCCAGCTGACTGGAAGCTGGCAAACGTTGTCCTGATTTTCAAGAAGGGCAAGAAGGAAGACCCTGGAAACTACAGGCCTGTCAGTCTCACTTCAGTGCCTGGTAAAGTTATGGAGAAAATTATTCTGGGAGGTATTTAAAAACACCTGAAAGACAATGCAGTCATTGGTCACAGCCAGCACGGCTTCGTGAGAGGAAAGTCCTGCTTATCAAACCTGATTTCCTTTTATGACAAGGTAACCCACCTAGTTGATCCAGGGAAGCCAGTGGACACCATCTTTTTGGATTTCAGTAAAGCTTTTGATACTGTCTCTCGCAGTATCCTTCTGGACAAAATGTCCAGCCCACAGCTGGATAAACACATCATGTGGTGGGTGAGCAATTGGCTGATGGGTCAAGCACAGAGGGTAATAGTGAATGGGGTAACATCAGACTGGAGACCTGTCACTGGTGGGGTTCCACAGGGATTCATCTCGAGCCCTGTGCTCTTCAACATCTTCATAAATTACTTGGACACAGGACTGGAAGGAATCCTGTGCAAGTTTGCAGATGACACAAAACTGGGAGGAGCTGTTGACTCCCTTGAAGGCAGGGAGGCCCTGCAGAGAGACTTGGGCAAATTAGAGGACCGGGCAATCACCAACCACATGAAGTTCAACAAGGGAAAGTGCTGGATTCTGCACCTAGGATGGGGCAACCCGGGTTGTATGTACAGACTGGGGAATGAGTTGCTGGAAAGCAGTGCCTTGGAAAGGGACCTGGGGGTCCTGGTTGATAGCAAGTTGAACATGAGTCAGCAGTGCTTGGCAACCGGGAGGGCCAACTGTGTCCGGGGGGTCATCAGGCAAAGCATTGCCAGCTGGTCAAGGGAGGGGATTGTTCTGCTCTGCTCTGCACTGGGGCAGCCTCACCTCGAATATAGAAAAGCAAGTTGTGGTCAGGTGATGTGAATGTTCTACATGGACACTTGCTTTTCTTCTGGGAAATCTCAGAGCCTGCTGTGCTAGATGCTCTGTTGCACGTACATCTTTAACTTCAAGCAGTTCATCAAGGTGAAGAAAGAAAACCTAATGCTCTGAATATACCTTCAACAACTGTAAAGACTTTGAAAAATACTTTTTTAACAAGAATTTCCTCTTGAATTATTTTACATAGTGCATGACTTTCATTAACGTTTGTGTATTTGCACTGTGTCAGCCACTTTGTTCCTGTCCAGCCTGGCTCTGGTGGCTTGTTCTCCGACATGTAACTCTGCTCAGTTAACATTGCTGCGCTCATCACTGCCTGTTTATTACAAGAAAAAGACATAAGCAACCCAGAGGCATTGCTGTGCAGATATATGGTATCTGATTTTCTCAGGTGCTGTGAGCCTCCTCTGCTTGCAGCAGCTTTCAGTGGCAATCGGGTGGAGTGGGACACGTGAAGTCATGTCATGGGTCCATGTAACTAGTCAGCAGCAAGGCATTCCAGGTTACTTGGTGTTTTCCCAAACAGATAGTACCTTGCTGAGTGAGGTCAGCAAGAGATGACCAAGGCAGTATGACTCCTGTGCTGCTTTTGCAGGATTATTTTTTTTTCACTAGACTATTTGGAAGGCAAAATGCAAGGACTCTTCCTTTCCAATTACAGAAATTTTGAGGGCAAAAGTTGTGTCTTTCCTAACCTTCTCCTCCAGAAATTCAACATGTATTTTCTTGCACACTTATTAGGTGAGTTACCTATGGTAAATCCCCTTCTACATCTCTGTCAGTTAGTTGCCAATGGCCACACACAACAGCAAAAAAAAAAAAAAAAAAGAGAGAGAGAAAAGTATCTCTCTGCCTCATATCTTTATGTCCTAGTTTCTGATAATGTCTTTTCTGAGGGTGAATAATATTACTGTACCTCATGTACACATGACACCATGTATGAACAGCCAAATTCATAGTTGGCACAGTTAGGAACAGCCCATTTTTTTGGCTGCTGTAAATAACTTCAGGGAATCTATGTTTAAAAATACGTCCCTTCTTTTTTATCCAAATTCATCTTGCTTCTGAGAAAGAATGTATTCTAACCATGGCATTTTATTCAACCTTTTCTTCAGCTATTTTAGGCATCATCCCAGAGGATCAGTCACCATCTTTTCCATGAAGATGCAGACAAAAGGCTGTAGCATTTTTGAAAGCAGTAATGTATTTCTGCAGGTGTTTAAATTTGCTTGCACATCTGACCTGACCCTGTGCTATTTAGTGTTCATGTATTAATCCTTTGCAAATGTGATGAAAACTCAGTTACTGAATGTAATGTTTCTTTGCAGCTTGGTGATTAACTAAATTCTGCTGGGCTGAGGAAAGGCTGGTGTTGATATGAGGATTTAGCAGTTAAATAGATTGAAAACTGTTCAATATGGGCACCACCAATATTGTATAACACTCACTTCTATTTAAACCAGAATGAAATAAAATTCCTGTGGTATTAGTAGCTGTAGTATTGTTTTAGCTGTAAGTTAGCTGTAGTATTATTTTATCAGCATGCTTACATTCTTTGAGCCAACTTGCAATCTATGGAAAAGGATCATTTGTCTTTTCTGAAACCATAAAAAGCAGGACTTCTCTCTGTGTTAGCTCTCTCAAATTCTTTACACGGTGAGTCATCTACTTTTCCTCCTTGGAAAGGTAGGGAGCTGGTAGTAACGTGCAGCTTTCACCAAAAGATGTGACCACTGCTTCTCTCCTTGTTTGAAACTGCAGAATTTTATTGGCTAAAAGAAAATTATTCTGAACTGTGAATCACATCTTAACAATTAGCATGTTGTAGGAAAGCCAGCTAATGAACAGGAGATACGCGCTCTTGGTAAACATAGGGACTTCCTTCTTACTTTCTTTGACTCTGTTAGTCACAGTCTATTTCAGAGCCGTCTTCATATTTCGGTATCTGTCCTTGTGAATTCCTGCCTGCTAGTTGGTAGCCATTGGTGTGATGATTTCCTTGGAGCTACTGCAGTTTAAAGCAATTGTGCATGTGATCATAGATCTCATCCCATTAATGGTCCTAAGATTTGAGGAGCTCAGGCTGTGTATGGGGTAGAAGAGGACCAGGACACAGCTTTCCTGCTACAGACCACTGCTCTTTGATCATAACTGTGGTCCAAATGCTTTGGGGAATGGGTAACTGCTGCATTTTATTAAAGACATGCAACTGAAATAATAATCGGATAAAAGGATCATTTATTGTCAAATGACTATGGAGCTGCATTATGTGATTTCATATCTTTTCCTTCAAAATCTCTGCATCTCAAACCAGCTTGTGGTTTTACTCTGTGCCATTAACACTTTGGTATTACACAGGAGTATATTTCATATGGCAATTCAGTGGAATATGGATTATGTTATCAGGAAATAAATAAAATTTTCTCAAGTTGGCCTAGGCTCTGCTGGTGGTAATAGTGAAATTGTTTGTCCTTAAGCTATAGCAGAGGATTGGATTCTTAAAAACTGGATATGAAAAAATGCTTTTAGAGTGATTTCTTTACAATAAAAACATGATAGTCTTAAAGCTAACTGATAATCTTTTTGAGTCCATTCCACATGAAGCAGGGGAGCAAATAGGTTCTCAGCTGATGTAAGTCAACATAGTCCCATTAGCTGACAAAGCTGGGTCAGTCCACAGCAGCTGAGGATCCAGCCCCATGACTTGGAAAGAATCATCATCTTGCTGTCTAAACAGGGGAAAAGACCGTAACAGGATTTTGTGAGGGCAAATAATATTAGAGAGCAAATAAGATGGGCCAGGGACCAAATAGGATGGCTGTTTAATTTGTCATTTGTCAAGATTTTTTTTACTGGAATGTGCACCAATGGGGAGAAGTTGTCTCTTAGAGCCACTGAAGGCTGTTAACCTTTTTTAGTACTGTTTAGTGTCTATCACTGCAGTGGAGCCAGGCGCATGAATAGTACACTTTTAATAACAAAACTCCTAAGTTAATCTCCTCTAGAGGTCTGCGTGACATTACTAGCTATAATCTAACCCTTCCAGGTTATTGTAGATGCACTTACGGGCATAAAACCTTCTTTGGGAGAATTAGGTATTTTCTCATTATGCATGCTAGTAGCTTTTCACTGAATATCACCAAATTTCCATGAAAATCTGAGTTTCTCTGGCAAGTTGAAGAGTTTACCAAGTCTATGAAAAAGGATCTTAAGAATTTTCTGATTATTTGTTCTCTAGCTACCTCTGAATTAGTGAGGTGAGATACTCTCTGATGAACTGATGGAAAACGAAAGCAGTTTGTCTTAAGAACAGGCAGATGCGGGATGTGTGTGGGGAAGGAAACACTGAAGCAGAAATCCCTGCTGCATGTGGAGTCATTTTAAGACTGTGGCCTAGTGGTTGAAGGATCCACCCATCTCCGTTCCTTCCTCTGCCTGCTGGACCTGTTTGCTATGTGTTCTAGAAAAATATGCAGCTGCATGAGCTGACCATTGACCAGCTCCTTAAAAGATGTTTGAGGTTTGCAGGGTTGCATGTAGACATCTAAAGTCTGAGCCCCAACTGCTAAAGCCTGTATTGGATCTGGTCTTTAACCTATGTGTCTCAGCTCCTTTGGGGAAAATAATGCTTCATTTCTCTGCCCTTGTATATCCAGGTTTAGCAAACTCTCCAGGAAAGAGACCTTCTCTTGCTTTGCTTGTCATGCTAATAATAAACAACTGTAGCACGGAGACTAGAGTAACCACAGCAAGAGGAGCTGTGATTGCATCACTAGCAACAGCAGACATCTCCTGCCAAGGTGCCCCCTGATTGTGCCACAGATGCCTTACTGATCTTGTCCCCATTTGGGACATTCAGAAATGAATGGGCAGCAGGGCTCTGTGGGTGGTGGGTGTCCAGGTGCCTGTTCTCCACCTCCAGA